CAAATAGGCTTTAACAAGGCTTTAATAAACTAAACAACAGAGGTACATGAGAAAATGTGTTTATAACTAACGAAAATAAATAATTTAATTGTGTCTGTGCCGCTCTCTGGTCCAACACTCTACCCATTGCCCTATTGGAGGCTTGTTGTGAAACAAGCTGCACATTGCACAACAACAACACGTTGACGGCTTTTTATACTGAGAAGGAGGAGCTTCACCCGGGGGTTGCTAGATAAGAGGCTGAACGCAGGTTCTGGTGGGTTGTCGTACGGCTTGTGACATCACAAAATGTAGGAAGTATAAAACTTGTCGTTGCTACACATTAAAAATACATTTACTTACAGTAAATATGCCCCTGGGTGCATTTTTTTGGTCCTAGGACTGTTTTTTTTTTAAGAAGTACATACACAAAGTTGAGTAAAAAAAAAACTTTTAAAAAGTGAATTTTGCATAATAGGTCCCCTTTAACAATCAAAACGCAAGTCTTAAATTTAAAAACAAATGTTGAGGGGGTGACTTTAATTGGTTAAATATTCCTGGGTGTCACATATACCTTCATAAAATTCAGTTTTAATAGAAAAAAGGGTACCGCTTTACAATAAGGCTCCCCTTATAGATGACTTATACATAGTTCATAGATAGGTTATTGATTCATCTGTAAACACTTTATAAATTGTTAAATGAATGTTTATTATGGATTAATTAAGAACGGAAAAGAGACCAAACTGTCCGGTTTCTTGCCAAATACTGAGCCAAATCTGTTTGTGTACATATTACTAGATTTGTGAGCACAATTATGTATTGGAAACACATTTAAAAATAATATTGTACTATATTACTAAATTATACATATTAACAACTTATTGTAAAATGTAAGACAATAGGTACACTATTTATTAATGACTAACAAACTTGTATAAATGCCATAAATGAGCCTTATTGTAAAGTGTAAAACAGTACACTATTTATAAGGCTGTTTTATGACATTATTAGTCATTAATAAATATTATACTGTTTTACACTTTAAAATAAGGCTCCCTT